AGTTATTTTGGAATGAAATCTGGATAAAAGAGCCCCAGAGACTGCAGTTTCAGCTATAAAGTCGGTTCATGACGTGTTGCTAACCCAACCAATCTGACAACATGGGGCATGAAGGACGACCTAAATTGCGGTCTTTGTTGTAGACCACCCAACCTGGAACGTACTAGTATTCTGTCTTAAGGTTCAGTAGCCTTAACAGATAAAAGTTCTACACGGAGACATGACAAAATTCTATCTGTTATTGCAGACGTGCTAGGAAAAGCAAGGAAGAAACCTCAGAAGACTAAAGAAGGCTTGAAGTTTGTAAATTTTGTAAGACTGGTGAACAGAGTCAGGCTTAGGGAGGGGGAGGAGGCGGACAGTAGGAGACCACCTGTGATTGGGAAATGCAAGCAGATCTCAACGGCTGTATGCAGTTTTCACAGGAAATACCATTTACCAATCAGAGACCAGTTATTGTTACTTGGTCTCTGGCAGCTCGGCTTGTTCTTTTACAGGAACTTACAGTGACTTGGGAGGACAGTATTGACGAAGCCCAGGAGCTGAAAATGAAGAAGTACAAGGATCTGGATGCAGACTGTCAACAACGGGACTGGAAAGTATGGAGTCTTCCAGTGGAAGTAGGATTCCATGGATTTGTAGGGCAGTCTATGTGGAGGGCCTTGTGGATTGTGAAGGAGGATCCACCTAATGACGGGACCGTGACACATCATATACCGTCAAGATGTATACAGGTATTTCATCCAAACAGAGATTTCTGACTCTCTGATACAGATAAAATCATAAATCCATTTTACCAAAGAAATATAAAAACAATATCACTATGTCATTACATGTATATGTCTATAGTTTTACCAAGGAATGCCTCCGCCCCCCCCCCCCCCCCCCCCCCCCGCATAAATATTAATGTTATGAATATAAAGAATATGACGGAAAAATCACAAAAACTTAAAGAGAGTAGAATATTTGGTTTATATTCCGCGCTAAATCTATCGCAATGTAAACAGGGGCATAAAGGCAGAAATAATATTGTGGGAATTAAAAGTGACCGCAGTAATAGTACTTTTTTCCTTTTATGACAATATGCTTGCTTCAGTCTTTAAGATTCTATATATATGTAGATACGGGATTTATCGCCATCTCTATGCAATACATTATATTGTGTAAACATTAATGAGGTCAATGTACGTGTGTATTTATTCGTTTGTACAGTAGTGTAGTTATAAAATGTTTATTCCAATCTCTTGATTAAAAAAAACTGGATAATCGTATATAACCCAAATAATTGTGAGTACCAGCATCCTTTAGTTTTTTTACGTGTGATTTAATGTTTATTTTTTCTGCCCCCCCCCCTTCGAAGAAGGAAGGGCATATTGTTTTGCTGCTGTCTGTCGGTCGGTCCGTCCGTCTGTCGGTCCACCGAGTTTCCGTTCATTTTCTTCGCAGTGGTCGCACAATTATACTGAAATGAAGTTAGGTATATAGATTTTTATAAGAAAATCTAGGTCAAGTACTGTTTTGTGTGCAATCTAGCCATTTTTGACAGAGTTATGCCCCTTGGACATAGAAAAATTCCAATTATTTGAAATTTCCTTTCATTTTCTTTACATACTGAAATGAAATTGTTATTTAAATTTATCATCAAAAGTACAAAAATTTCCAAATATTTGCAGTTTCCGTTCATTTTCTTCACAGAGGTTACTCCTATTAAAATAAAATATGGTATGCAGATTTTTCATAAGAATATCAAGTTCTGTTTTGGCAACGATCGAGCCATTTTTGACAGAGTTATGTCCCTTGGACATAGAAAAATTCCAATTTCCAATTATTTGCAGCTTCGGATGATCTCTTTCTTCGTAGAGGTTACACCTACTGAAATTAAATTTGGTAAATAGATTTTTCATAAGAATATCTAGGTCAAGTTCTGTTTTGTTAACGATTTTTGACATGTATTTAGGGTCCCTTGCTTTCGGTGTCTTTGTGGGTGAGAAGTCATTATTTATGGCATATTGTGTCAAATATGAAAGCCCTATCACATTTATCAGAAGTTCAGATCACTTAAGTTCATTTTTTTAGGTCTATCGTGAAGGCCAAAGGGTCAGAAATCATAGCATGCTCGGAAATATCTTGTCACAATCAAGCCCATGTCAAATATGAAAGCACTATCTCTTCTCAATCAAAAGTTATACGTAAAAATTAATTTTTTTTTAAAAAGTAGGTCAAACTTCAAGTTCACGGTTATGGAGGCTTAAATCATAGTGTATTTAGAAAGGTCTTGTCACAGACAATACACAGGTCTAATATGAAAGCCCCATCTCTTCTAATTCACAAGTCATGGCGAAAATTAGTTTTTGAAAAGTAGTTCAAACTTCAAGGTCACGAGGTCAAAAATCATAGTGTATTTCGAAAGATCTTGTCACAGGTAATATACATGTTTAATATGAAAGCTCTATACGTTTTCATTCAAAATTTATGGTCGTTTAGATTTTTTAAAAAGTAGGTCAAATTTCAAGGTCGCGGGGTCAAAAATCCATTGTGTATCATTGTGTATTTAGAAAGGTCTTCTCATTCAAAAGTCATGACCAAGGTTAAAGTTTTTGAAGAATAGGTCATAGTTCAAGGTCAAGGTAACAAGGTCAAAAATCATTGTTACCTTTCTAAATACACCATGTTTTTTTCTCGTTAACTTGAAGTTTGATCTACCTAGGTTAATTTTACCTTATAACTTTTGAATGAGAAGAGATAGGGCTTTCATATTTGTTTGACATGTGCATTACCTATGACAAGATATTTCCGAGCATGCTATGATTTCTGACCCCTAGACCTTGACCTTCACGATTGACCTAATTTCAAAAAAATCAACTTTGGTGATATCTTCCGAATGACATACGATAGGGGGTTCATATTTGACACAATATTCCATAAATAGTGACATCTCATCCAAACAGATGTATCGAAAGCGGGGAACCAAAATTCTTTTAATTTGCTTGTTATTTTTAGATAATATTTCTCATGAGAAATTAATTCAATTAAAATTACCAGTGTTAATCATAATTAATAAACAACTTTTCATATTCTAGTCTAGAATGGATGATCAATGGCTGATTGCAGCCATTTATTATATCGTCAAGGGCGTCTACTTCCTCTACACACAGTGTGTTGGAGTTCCAATTTATGTGACTTTCCACATCCTGTTGTTGCCATTAAGATTTCTGCATCCTCGTCTCTTCTGGAACATAGATGCTCACTTATTTAAGGCAGTTCTTGGCGGTGTGACGTCATGGTTTTACACCGATGGAATTGTCTGTATGTTCTTTAACATTTAATTTACCACTTTCCAAATTTAAGTCTTCTTAATCGTGTCTCTGTCAATTGTATATGAATAGGATAATTAATTTTTCAGTGAAAGAATCTGGTGATTCTTTGAAAGACATATTAGATGACAGGGCTCTATTGCTTTGTAATCACCAATCTACTGCTGATATTGGAGTCATCATGCAGTCACTGCACCCAAAAGGCATGGTAACGGGTCACATGACCTGGGTCATGGATCACGTGTTTCGGCTAACTCACTTTGGATGGGTCAGTCGTTTACATGGAGACTTCTTTCTCAAGCAACCTTGCAGGGTATACAAAAGTTTTAGATGTATGGATTTTTAAAATTAATTTTCGAGGCATATACCTTAAGCACAGGTATCTGAAAAAAATAAACTAAAGAAATATAAATGAAGAACAAAACAATGGAAGCTTTTTTTTTTATTTTAAATCTAATTATGAGAGCACATTTTTGTAAGCTAAAGCCATTCTTGTAACTTAAAATATGAGACACGACCTATAGAAACGGGGCGAATTAAGCGGAAAGTTAAGGTCACCGTAAGACCGATAAAATTAAAATTTGTTCAAACCATGTAGCAAGATAAAGATTTATGTACGTGTGTATTCACACTATCAATCATCAGATAAAGGCTAAAATCAGACTGAAATTGTAGCTCAATTTAGATATGTGTTATATATTATATTTTTATACCTCATATATAATTATTCTATAAAACGCGTTATCTGGTTGGTTCTAGATTATCACGTGACAGGGCCATAAAATTTCATATTTCCTTGTCGTCTTCATGCTTTTCATCATATTCAACCTCTTCTGAAACCTGGTGCATTTTCCCTCCATAATTATCGATCTCAAAACTCCCGAGAGTAGTAGGAGTCACAATAACCAACAATGTAACGTCACAAAATTGTTGGTTGTTTTATTAAAGTGTAATGAGAAACTTTACGATTAAATTGAAAATGATTTTGAGAGGGGTGCCAAATTTTGAAAGTTCATATTTATTTTTGAAGTTTTTGCTTGTTTCGGTATAACAAACAATTTATTGCATGATCTTGAGGGAAATATGAAGATTTATTCAGCCAAGAAATATATATATGGCCCGAGAGTAGTATGATATTTCTTGGCTGAACAAATCTTTATATTTCCCTCTCGATCATGCAATAAATGTATCTTATTTCAGACTGTATCTGAAAGAACCAAACAAATGAACAAACTCAAATCACATTTGAAAACTATTTACTTAACAACTCTGAAGAAATGGATAGTGTTGTTTCCTGAGGGAGGGTTCCTCTCCACTAGAAAACCAGGAAACCAAAGGTATACTCAAATTTTACATTGTACATTATATTTTATATATATGTATGTATTAGCATTGATCGATAATTTACAAATATTTCTAAGTAGAATTTTTTGTTTAAAGGTATGCAAAGAAACATGGCTTGCCTATGCTTGAAAACGTTTGTCTGCCTCGACTGGGGGTAACAAAAACCATACTAGACGAATTAGCACCAAAGGAAGGTATGGAAATTCCACTTTAGAACTTTTGATTTTACACGGCGGGTGTGGCCGGTCGGCAGGGGATGCTCACTCCTCCATGGCACCTGGCCCCACCTCTGAAGTTTTGGAGGTCCGTGTTTGCTTTACTCTTTCTATTGTTTTATGGATTTTTGATCTTGAATAATGTCCGTTATCTCCATATGTTTCATTTTAGTTAATTATTAAATATCTTTCTCAAATACTTCTGTATATTCCTAATCTTGAAGGTCTATATTTTTGTGTATCCAACTAAACAATTAGTTTTACCAAAAATATATTTTATTTTCTCTTATGTTTTGGTCCATGCATATATTTTATAAATACATCTTTCAGACCCCTGCAATTTCAAAGATAATTCTGAAAGGTTAAACTGGATCATCGATATGACCATTGCTTATCCAAAAGGAGAAGCACCGAACGCCCTGATTCTGATGTTCTCCATGGGAAAATTCCCGCCCATACACATACACTATCGTGTCTTCAATATTCAAAACGTCCCTAGAGACGAAAATGGACTCACAAAATGGATGTACGACAGATACGTCGAAAAAGAAGCCATGTTGGACCATTTCTATAACACGGGAGTTTTTGCTAAAGATGGAAAGGAAACTGTGGACACAGACAAACTAGGCAGCTTCATTTATGTGATCTTTTACTCTCTTTGGATGTGGTGGTTGGCCCTATACGTTTATGCCCCTATATTTTCCTTATTAAGTTGGAAATTGATTTTTATCATTATGTTTTGCTATGTTTTGTATTTTACTTATGACTTTATAAAGTACTTTAGAGATTTTGCACCCTAAATTTTGCTGTGCAAAAGATGCAGATCAACATATTGTCCATTCTAATTTTTAAAAACCGGTAAGCTACATGAGTACATTATACATATCTTTGCAGCATTCATTCAAGAAATATTTCTTTAAAAGTTTTTGGAAAGTAAAATTCATAGCCTTTGCTTATATAATGCCAATCTCTTACTTTAACATTTTAGCTCACCTGAGCCGAAGGCTCAAGTGAGCTTTTCTGATCACATTTTGTTCGGCGTCCGTCTGTCTGTCCGTCTGTCTGTAAACTTTTCACATTTTCGACTTCTTCTCAAGAACCGCTGGGCCAATTTCAACCAAACTTGCCACTACGTATCCTTGGGTAAAGGGGATTCAAGTTTGTACAAATGAAGGGCCACGCCCTCATTCAAGGGGAGATAATTGGAAATAAATGAAAATTTGGTGGCATATTTTAAAAATCTTCTTCTCAAGAACCACTGTGCCAGGAGAGATGAAACTTATGGAGAAACATCCTCAGGTAGTGTAGATTCAAGTTTGTTCAAATCATGACCCCCGGGGGTAGGGCGGGGCCAAAATGGCCGACCAAAGTTTTACATAGAAATATAGAGGAAAATTCTTTAAAAATCTTCTTCTCAAGAATGACAAAGCCATAATTCATCATATTTATATGGAAGCATGCTCAGGTAGTGTAGATTCAAATTTGTTCAAATCATGACCCCCGGGAGTAGGGCGGGGCCAAAATGGCCGACCAAAGTTTTACATAGAAATATATAGGAAAATTCTTTAAAAATCTTCTTCTCAAGAAAGACAAAGCCATAATTCATCACATTTATATGGAAGCATGCTCAGGTAGTGTAGATTCAAATTTGTTCAAATCATGACCCCAGGGGGTAGGGCGGGGTCAAAATGGCCGACCAAGGTTTTACATAGAAATATATAGGAAATTCTTTAAAAATCTTCTTCTCAAGAATGACAAAGCCATAATTCATCATATTTATATGGAAGCATGCTCAGGTAGTGTAGATTCAAGTTTGTTCAAATCATGACCCCCGGGGGTAGGAAGGGGCCAAAATGGCCGACGAAAGTTTTACATAGAAATATATAGGAAAATTCTTTAAAAATCTTCTTCTCAAGAATGACAAAGCCATAATTCATCATATTTATATGGAAGCATGCTCAGGTAGTGTGGATTCAAATTTGTTCAAATCATGACCCCCGGGGGTAAGGCGGGGCGAAAATGGCCGACCAAAGTTTTCAAAGATATATATAGGAAAATTCTTTAAAAATCATTTTCTAAAAAATAGCAAATCCATGATTGGTCATGGGACTACATTTGGATTTAAACTTTACCATTTTCTACTTTTTCCTACCCTTAGTGCTCAGGTGAGCGATGTGGCCCATGGGCCTCTTGTTTAATATTTACGGGTGAAACACAATATAGGGAACAGTAAGGTTGCACTTGGGGGTAAAAAATTAGTGTCTTCATTTTGCCCCAAAAATATTTTTTCTAAAAAGTAAAGTATCTAAAGGAGCTCAAACATAAACGGTTTTGTGAAATTCACATTAGAACTTTGTTTTTTACAAGCTGATAATAACCTCATTTTCACAGGTTACGGACACTACAAGTGTTGTTTTCTTTGAAATAAATATTAAAAACTGTTTATAAGCTCTAATTTTTTCAACTGCTCACAAACAAACAACATATAAAAATACAAAATATGGACAAAATTTTGACTAAATAAGGTGGCATTATACTTTAAAATGAAAACAGTTCTTACTTCGTATATTTTTGTTTAAAATGGTAGTATTTCATTTCATGTGAACTCTTTAAAACCAATATAAATAAAGAAAACACTATTTATAAATAACACTTTTTATGCATTTGGTAAATTATAAATACTTTCATTAAAATAGGACATTTCATTTTTATAAATTTTCTTAAATAATTTGATAGTTTCATTAAGTTACGGACACTACAAAACCCAAATATTTATGATTGGCATTTGTTTTGTGGTTAAAAAAAACATTTAATAAACTTCTGAACTATTATAAATCAGATTTAAATAATTATTAAATACAAAGTACGTACAAATTAGATATTGTTTCAAGTAAAAACAATTTACTTGCAGAACTAATGCCAATAGAAAAAAATCCACTTTAGGAAATCCTGAAACTTCCTTCTTTCACATAACTACATGTATTTATTAACTGAAGTGCAAAAGAAAAGTTCTATTATTCATTAACGTTTTATGAAAACTATTTAGAATGTAGGTACAATGATCAATGAAGTCAATTAACCAAATTTAAGGGTTACGGACACTACACAATACTTTAATTTTTCACAGGTTTGTGGACGAAGTTTTTTGTTTTTAAGCCCTTTTCCTATCTTTTTTCAGCATATTATTTCTCGTTTCAGTTTCTCCTGATTTTTTTTTATTCTTCAGATCTCAACTTCATCTGTTAAAAGCATACCATAACCAATATACTTTGAATAAATATATACACATGTAACTTTATATAGGTGTTATGTGCAAGTAGAAAAGTCAAACCTTGAAGAATAGAGCTCACTAATATTTCTTCAATTATTTTATCTTGTCTGTGTAGCATTCTATTTTTCTTCAAACAGTTAAATATACATGTACAATACTTTATCTGAAATTGGTGTAATTTTAGTTGTTTTCTCTTTTGAAATCTTTTGTAGTGTCCGTAACCAAATTAAGTCCCAACTGTTTAACATTTTGAATGCAAATTTACTTGCATTTAACACATTTTAAGATATTACCTAATAAGCAACTAGACAATTGAAGCAATAATCACAAGAAATATGGGTTATGTAGCTAGTGATAATAATTTCTAACTATATTTATATGTCATTGTGGGTGTCCAATCATTATTTTAGTACTTGCAGTGAAGAAAAAAACCCACATGATTTAAAAGAATTCCAGCTAATAAACACCTTTTTATCTCTAAATTCAATAATACATTGATTAAAATATTTATCTGTAAATTTTATGGAGAAAAAATAAAGATATTTTATTTTTCAACTTTTGGTTACGGACACTACACACTCTACAAGTTATTTACAAAAGGATGAAACTTAACCTTAAATAGAGGAATTTCAACAAGATTTTCTTAAATGTAACACCAGTGGACTTAAACAATGAAAAAATAATGACATGCTATTTGACTTAAATCCTAGGATGTCAATAGCATCCGCCAATATCAAGGTGATGTAACACCAAGGATCTTGTATATGAAAATGGTGCAATCTGGGTTTCCCAAATTAGTTGCAATATCAAAATGAGGGAGAAAAATAAAGTAGTACATTGACTAACTTGTTAAACAAACGTCTGACCCTTGAGAATAAATTTGCATTAGTGTTTTAACACCGCCTGTTTCAAACTGCCTCAAATTCAGGTTACGGACACTACAGGGTTTTGTAGTGTCCGTAACCACATTTGTAATGATAACAGACAAACAGTGGTGATGATCAGGAAAATTACAACACATCTCAGCATCTATATGAGATGCTTATCTAGGAAATTAGTTAAGATATTTATAGAGCTTTCCAATTTCACAGAATGAAAGTGGTTACGGACACTACAGTTTTTTGTAAAAACTTAATTTTCCACATTAAAACATGATGAAATTTCATTTCAATTGTTACATTAACCCAACTTTTTTCTGTAAGTAACAGAGCATTAATACTGTGATTTTAGACAGAAATCTGAGAAAACAAATGATATGGACATTATTTTTATTTCGCATAATGAGAGGGGTGAAATTATGTGAAAAATGTATAACATTGCACCCCTATTACATTTTCTTTCATATCTTCAAAAGTTGTTATTCAATCCTGAAAATTCAAGCACCAAAATAATTTGTAAAATAAATTCTAAAGTCTGATAATGATCATTGGCATGAAAATTTATGATATATAACAATTATTTCAATTGAAAAATGGTGTAATTTCAAAGTGCAACCGCATAACGCTTAAAAAAGGTCATTTTGGGGGTACATTTTTGGCATTTACTTAAATTCTGTCAAGGCTAGATCAACAAAATTTTGCACACAAGTCCTTTATAAGTATGCCTATAAATGAATTATGATAAATTACATGTAAAGAAATTAACATTTCTAAAAATCATGTATAACAATGTGGTATTTTTAATGCGCCCTATATTGTGTTTCACCCGTTAATATTTGTTAATCCCACCATTAAAAGATATTAATAAAAATACAAAATAATTCAATGTTCAAAATGTGGAAAATGTTGGGGGAGGGGGGGGGGGCGGGCTCAATTAATTAATGGATCAGAGAGAGAGACCATTCTGTTACCTTAGCAACGCAAAAACCCATAGACACCTAGAAAAGCTATTTTTGGATATCTCACCGTTAATTTGTTTAAATATATTGTAGGGGGTGTTCTAGGCTGAGCCGAATCAAACCTAGTATTTTCCAAGTTACAACCTAATTTTTAAAAGAAATACAAAAATAGCAATATTCAAAAATGAAATGATTGGTTTTGAATAACATACGAATTTAAAATAAGTCATTAAGTGTATGTTTCTTAATGGTCACTTATTAAATTACCAACTGGACTGATCCGGAATAAAACACTCTTTGGGCTGAAATCGCAAGAATTGGGTCAATAAGCGTGCTCGAACAATTAACACGTGACTCTCGATGCTTCTTTGATAGTTTAACTAAGGCTACATACAGAAAGAATTTCGTTTACAACGCGAGTGCGTGAGATGTCTAAAGGCCGGTATACACGATGAGATTTGTAGTATAATACAAGTACTTTTGTATTATAATACTTTCCTGTACTCACGCTAATACATATCTTATAAGATTGTAAATAAACAACGTATTCCAACGTGTTTTCCCCGCCGTATTTCTCCCTCTGTCAAAATAATAAAAATGGAGGATGGGGCTCTGATAGCAGTGTCTATCATCGTACTTTGCACTGCTTGATATATTCTACAAGTCCTCTTCCCCTTCCCATTAAGCCACGAGTTTTTCGATGTCTTTACTTGTAAAGTCGATCATTATTATTTACCATGTGTTTTTTTAGTAATGTTAA